ACTCATTAATGAACTCAAGTTGTGATACAGCAATACGTAATGTCTTCATTTATATACAACCTATTCTTTGAATATCAGATGATCTTAATCGGGGGACGTGAAATGATTGTTCATGTTGCATTGTTTATTATTGGTTATTGTACTTTCCAGTACCGTCCATGAACAGGCTCAATCAAACCGAGCCTGCAACATTTTACAATTTTGCCGTGTTGGGCTTTCTTTAGGGATTCTGTTTTTCTCTATTTCTATATCTTATTATCAAATATATATGTTGTTGTTTTTGTTATTCAAGCTTGAACATCTCATTAACATAGTAAACAAGAGCGAATATATGAAATTATGAAAAGCGGTTAAAAATAAATTTAAGATAACTAAAATTGTATTCACCTCTTATTTGACCATTTACATTCCGAGATTCTTATACAAATATTTCATTGATTTATACTTTGTTTTGTTTGTAGTATATTTTTGTCTAATACTAAAACACCTTTTCCTTTACCTTTTAACTATGGGTTTAGACATGTAATTGTAAATAATTAGAATGTTAAGACGTATATAAATGTACGTCAGTTGTTTATATAATAACTTAATTCTTCTTTTAATTGAAATCATTATCATCGTAATTTTATATATGTTTATAAAAAATGGTATTATGGAACAAAATTATCCCCTTAGGATTCCACTTCTTTCTAGTTATGTCATTATACCGTTTATAGATGAAAGACTATTTAAAGATTGTTTAACACAATTTTTTCATGGTTTTATTTAATAAATATGATGCTCAAATTAAGATTTGTCAATATTGTAAGTTCCAATAAGCATTATTTATAAAGATATTACCGAATTTAACATTTCATGTCAATAAAGGGAGGTACTTAGAAATTTATTTTCTATAAATTCTAAGTCAAATTTTCCAATAAGAAATGAATGCAATTAAATATTTATGTGCACAAATATTTGCAGTACTTATTTTACATATTCTTCGATGTTTGAAAATTGTTTTATTTGCATAATTATATACATATATAATTTTTGTGGTATACACACAGTAACAATATCAATCACGAAACATACACATGTACAGGATCTTTAATATATGCTTTATACTCGTATTTGTTTGCTTTTTTCTTTTGCTGTTGAACTTCATAAGTACAGTGTACAAGGATGACCACTTTAAGTTTCTAAATTTTTGAGCGATTGCTTTTTGTATTTTTTTCACGTTTTTATTTACTAAAATCTCAAAGATAAGAAAATAGAAAGGGTGCGGGGTTAAATAATGAGAAGCCATACATTGTTCCATTGCGCATGATCACCGGAAGACGATGGCACGATGATGAAATCGCGATGGTACGATGGTGAGGTAGCACTCCACACTAAATTTCAAGTTTCTGCCGTCAATGTCCTACAAGCAATATGTCTGATAAATCTGATCCCAAACTACACAACCTTGAAAAAGAAAACACATTTTGTTAAGAACATATATGTCATAACATTGCAAATCTGTGATGAAATCATCCCATGTGCAACAGTCAGGCAGTTAAAAAAATTCCAATTCATTCCGTAAAAGCCAAAAATCTATAGTGGTCCGAGACCCAAAACAACATTTTTCGTCCCTCCGGCAAAAAAATACCTCCAAATATACGGTCTACAGAAACTCTGTCACTGCTTTAGCAACTCCCTATACATGCAAAATATCACAAAGAAATAGGTGCTTGGCCTTGTTGATTTTTTGCTATTGCTGAAAGTTTGTACCCCCCTGTAAAATTACTTGTTTTCATCGAGCATGCTGTTTAAAAGCAATGTTTACAAACAATGGCGGCCCTGACATCAATAAATATCAGCATGTGATTTCTAACCATGTTTTCGAATTTGCCAATGATCATATTACATGTCACAAAAACAAATTTCATGCTGAAAATGCATTTTAAAGACAAACAGTCATTTAAATCCACAATAGTCACTAATATACATGAAATCCTTCCTGGCCATTCGAAGCTGTGGCTTCATTAAGTGTGATGTGCTGCCTTAAGGAGCACCTTAACATTGATTACTAAACTTTATACAGACTTTTTCTGCAAATTTATGCATATTTCAATAAATAAAATGATTTAATTTTGCTAGGAATTGTTTGCTTTTCCTTATATGTGCCTTTAATGAACTATACCGTTTGCCCCATTTTCAGCCCTCGGCACGCTGTTTTTAGTACATGTAGAAAAAGAAAGTATTCCCAATGTAAGGTGTAGACAAAATGGGTTCCATACTATCTATACATATAATTTGCACAAATATATCCTTATGTCATATGATATGGAAGAAATATTCAACAAATTGCCATACAGTTTAAGAATAAACTGGCTTCATGTGACTCTGTGGGGGGCACAAAATATACCAGATATGTTCCTGCCAGACACTAATATATGCTATGTTTTTTTCAGTCCTACACAGTAGAAAATCTATTTGGCATGCACAATGTTCATATAGGTTTATGTGTAAAGTCAAAAACAAAGAGACAAAGCATTTGTCAGGGCCTTCACAGCATTATAGACATCACAATGTGGGTCTCCTAGGGAATCGAAATTCACCAAGTGACAGTGCAAAAACCAAATTTTCCGACTAGTCGATCTTGCTCGCTCAGCTTTAAAATGGTCAAAATCTCACCAGAAAACCTAGATTATATATCCACCTGCCCTAAAGTGGTTTCAAGCACAAATTTACCTCCATACAATGATTTTGCATCACTCGAAACACTTCGGGTGGCCATATTTCACACATACAGCTGAAATTCATTAAATGCATGCCTTTTTCCTAATTTAAAAGTCATAAAAAGCAGGAAAACAACATCTAATTTAACCTTCATAGCTCTATATGTGAAAATTAGCATTCTTCTAAAGCTGTATCTCCTAGAATAAGAAGGTGTAATCAATTGAAGCACACAGCAGACACAGCACCTTTAATACATTTCACAAAGAATTTCTGGTATTTGAGTTACCTCCCCTTTTTAAAGCTGACTTTCTGACACTGTGTTTAATATTATTATTAAATTTCATCATCATTGTAGTCAGTGTGTATTCTAAAGCATTTACACAAAGTTTAATGAGAAAAAACAAGGATTGATAAAATTTCATTTTACCTGAAGACGCGATGGTACGATGGTGAAAACGCCATGGCACGATGGTAAAACGCAATGGTACGACGGTGAAAATGCGATGACCGCGAAGGTACGATAGTGAAAACGCGATGATTCGATGATGAAAGCGTGATGGCACAATAGTAAAAAAGCGATGGTACGATGGTGAAAACGCGATGACACGATAATGAAAACGCGATGGTACCATGGTGAAAGCGCGATGGTACGATGTTGAAAACACGATAGTACAATGGTGGTAACGCGATGACACTATGGTGAAAACGCTATGGTACGATGGGGAATATACCATCGCGTTTTCACTATCGTGCCATCGTGTTTTCACCATAGCGCCATCGTGTTTTCATCATCGTGTCACTGTACCATTGCGTTTTAACCATTGTGCATCGCGGGTAAGAACGAAATAAAAAATCACGATTGTTCAAACGGAACACCGTAGGTAATGCATAAGGTTGGTCATACCTTAAGTGTAACAAATGTTATTGTCGTTTTGTCTCTTTGGGCATTTTGTACATTATTTACAGCTATGTGTTATTTTAATGGTTCATCTTTTTAAGAAAGCTTGAAATAAATGATAGCTTACAGTGTGGTAGGGGATCTCGATCTGCACAATTCTTGTATGAATATCGTCCAGTAAAATGAAATATCGGTGTATTTGTCGTGCAATTTCCATACAGAACTTTAGAGTTTAGGAGTTCCTAAAGTAATGATAAGGTTTTAGTTGCTTTTATGTTACTTAAACTTAAACTGATATTTGGTATTTCGATTTAAAAAAACAACAACAATGAAAGGCATTAACTAAGAGTGAATTGGTATATAACAGAAGGTCTTTAATAAAAAATACGTATATTAACTTTGTGAGTGTTTAATACCTCACATGACAACAAACAACGAAATAAATATACACATGGATGTTGTTGCTAAATATAAGCTACAGATTCCGATATTACATATATATTTATATAACAGACAATAAATTGTTATAAACAAATTTTTCAATTATTCATCATACAAATTTTCACACTTTATCACTTAGAACAATATAAACATTTTTTTTTCCTTTCAGCAATATTCTATAAGAATATCCAAATGATATATTGTGTAGTTTTATCAATATTTGAAATACTTATGGCCGGATAGTGTAATTATTGCAATGATCAAATTTTATGTATATTTATTGACCATTAAGTTTTCTGTTTGGGACATTTATGTATACGTAATTTATACATAATACATCATTGTATCAAAGTCATATCAACATAATTATTTGAGTAAAGTTTATTATGTCTAAAGTGAAAAGCAAAATCAATTTGTTTTCATTCTTGTACATATTTCTTCAAAATAAAAAAAAAAATGCCTGAAAGATTTAAACATACTTACAGGGTAAAAAAAATATAATACTAAAGATGAAAAACTTATCATCGACTGTTATTTTAAGATTACTCAAGGTGATTTGAAAAAATATGAATAATACATCAAAAATTGTCAACATCACTACCATGCGAAACACGTTGAGATGCAATGACAAATAAATATAAGGCTATTTGAAAACTTCAGTTTTGTTGTTGTTTCCTGTTGTATAGTTTGAATTACATAAAGTCAACGTTTACTTTAGATGTTATATTTTCTTTCAAACTTTGTACTATTGTATATTTTTAGCCATTTTGTTTGACATTTTTCTGTCTGTATCTGATTTATCACGATCATCCAATTGTTTGCTGATTAGATGAGAGATATGCCTATTTTAATCTTGTTCAGTTTTTCGCACTCAATGTCTACATCCATTTGATATCCTTATATATTCAGATTCTCCTTTGTTTACATGTTGAAGAGAAGGTATTTATACCACGTTCGAGTTGTTCATTCGCATTTTGCAATTACAAGTCGTTCGCCGAAGATTGTTAATAAGGTTAACATCGATTTACAGTTTGAGAATATAAAAGATCCATAAACAATTAACATTTGATTGAAGGGATTTCTACCAAAATGTGCAAGCTACTTATCATAACTGTTATTTTTGGATATGTTGCTGCCAAACATGAAAGCAATATTTATCTACCACTGGTAAAGATGCAAAGTGATGAAAGTAGCGAGTCAGATATTTCAAACCGTTTAAAGTGTACGTGCGATTCAAACAGGAAAGACCTTGCCACAAAAGCAGATCTGGCGAAGTTGAAGAAAGAAATGATTGCGGATATGTCTGCTCTTATGTTAGTTAAACCTAAACCGAAACCCATTGACTGCGGAGATATTTACAATGAAGGTCACAATAAAACTGGCATTTACACTATTTACCCTACTTCCAATAACAAAGGCATCTCAGTACGTTGCGATATGAACACATCAGGTGGTGGATGGACTGTTATACAAAGAAGGGTTTCTAAAAGCGACTTTTATAAGACATGGGACGAATATGAGACTGGTTTTGGTAACCTCAGTGATAACTTCTATCTTGGGAACCGCATTATACATGAGATCACCAGCCAAGGCAAATATCAGAAATATCAGCTTCGAGTTGACCTTACCAGCTTTCAAGGAGAATCTGCATATGCAGAGTACAGTCAGTTTTCTATTGGTGATTCTGAATCCAGTTACAGACTGGATGTTAGTGGATATTCTGGTACTGCAGGTGATGCTCTTGAGTATCATAATGGCATGAAATTTTCTACAAAAGACAGAGACAACGACCCCGACGGTTCTCATTGTGCAGATAAATATCGCGGTGCATGGTGGTACAAGAAATGTCATCATTCAAACCTAAATGGACTGTATGGTTCTAACGAATTCGGAAAGGGTACAAACTGGTACCAGTGGAAAGGACATCACACTTCGATGGAAACCATGGAAATGAAAATTCGTAATATTTGTAAAGTATAAGTTCAAGACTGCAGTGTACATAATGCATCAAATACACTTATACTATTTCGTTCCGAGTACAAAAAGATTGTGTTTACGTATTATATTATTAGAATATACGTATTATATAGTATTCCAATACTGTAATTTTTTTCTTTATTTTTTTTACTTATTAACCATGTGAAAAATTGTGTTATAATTGTATTATTTGTTTATTTCACGCATTCAAAAATATATCAAAATTATCTTATGTACTCGAATCACGCTAAAATGACATTTGTAAAAGTCCCAGCATAAATTTCTGTAAAAATGCTATATATTTTGGGTTTGAAGCGGGATTATATCTATATATGTTGAACGAAATTAAGACATCGACAGAATCACCGAGTAGTTTTAAAACAGTTTTCTAGTAATGTGACTTGAAACCCTAAAAGTTACAATAAGAGATATTGTGGATATAGTATGATTGAAACAAACCTAAATCATTCATTTGACATGTTCTTTAACGTTTCCAGATATCACTGTGACAACTTTTGTGAAATCTTAACACTCTTACCTGACCCACGTGGATCAGGTTAGGAAACCACCATTTTTTTCTTTATAAGGAGAAAAGTTTTTTTCCTGTGACAGCATAGTGTATTTATTTCGAGGACATTTACAGATAAATGAATGAAAAATTCAAAATAAAAAAAATAAAAATTTTGCCTATGTATCCCTTTAAACAGACTATGATATATATCATGATTATGTAAGAAGTGTAGTTTTTTGACACTGTTAACGCTGACCAAATTATCTTAATGTAATTATTTCTGTTTTAATATTATATAGAAATGTATATTTGATGTCTTTATTACACAGTTATAAGATTGAATTCATGAATAAGCGTCTATTGTTTAACGTTAAAGTACGGTTACTTCTTTAGTTTAATCATTGGTGTTAAATGAAATATTGATAATATTATTTTGTAAATATAGTGACATGTTTAAGTAAAGACACGTTAATCATAGAAACTATTAATACTTATCTAAAGATGTTTCACAATTTAGTACTACTCTATAGAAATATTTATTATACTATTTAGCTATTTGAAAACTTTTCATTAAATTTTTAATCATCACGAAATGAAATTATGTCTTAGTTCTTGCTAACAAATTAAATAAGTTTTGAAATATTTTTTTAAACTATTGCTCATAAAATCACTTAAGTCAACATTCTATTTTTTAAAGAGTCACACCTTTCTAGAATTTTTCTTTTGCAATTTTTGATAACAATATAATTCACAATGTTGAACACTCTTAAATGTCATAATTACCAATCGAGTACTGAGAACGATGTAACAATATCAATGGCGTTGTTTCAATATTTTGGTACTTTTACTTTTACAATAAACGAAACTCATGTATCTCTATATGTTTAATAAATATGGATTCTCCATGATATTCCAAATTTTAATAGGTATTTATATACTCATGTAACTGATAGAAAGTATTTGCTATATGCAGGTATAGACAATTAAGTGTTTAATAATCTTTAATCTTCTCTACATGGAAAAAATTGGTTACTTTATATATGTACGTTCATTAAAAGCAATTAAGATATGTGTGTAAAATTTTATATATTGTCTTCAGTAATTCATTACAGCTGTGTAAAAAATCAACACATACTTGACTCATTAATGCCTAACATTATTCATCTAAAATATCATTACAGCGACATAACTAGACTCGACAGTGTATTGGGTACTCATTTTAGTATTTCATATCGATCGATGAAGCTCAGAGAAAGTCGGTGGTTCTTGTCAGGGGCCCGCTTGTGTCTGAAATCAGGTCTCCGGTCGCTTAGAATTTTCAAAGATTACTATTTACCCAAGAAAATCAATTAAAGGTACTACGTGTATTACAGTTTCTTTCGAAAACACACATATAATGTCCTTTAGAATAAAAAGATGAGCATAATACTGACGAAACCTGAATGTCTAATATACCAAGCCATACAAAATCATTAAAAAAAACTTGCAGCAGTAGAATATTAAACAGGAATGGGGCATGATACCGGAAGATGTGGGCAGCCTTTAAGACGCCATCTTTTATTGCTACAATAATTGACACGAATACAGTTACAAAACATGTAAAACTATTACAAAGCTTATCTGGGTAAAATTTGAAATTATTCAGTTGGACAAGATCCCCACCCTCTGTTAAATGGAAATAGTCATATAGTTTTTGTCCGCCCTCCTTCCATCCTTACTTCTTTGCGACTGTGTCAGTGCATGGAAACAGTTGGAAAAGAGAAGGCAGCTTAAATACTATCGCTTACCGGTCCAAATTTAATCCAAAACGTCTGTAGGTAGGCACTTTCAGTAGTTATTTCCACTAACTTTTTAAATTTCTCGACATTGTACATGCATGCAATCCTGATCCGCATATACCTAATGCGTACCCCGTTTCGCATGGTACAGATTGAGCGAAGCTGGCTAACAGCGGGAAACCGGGAATGCTTACTTTGAATATCCGGATCAGGATTTGTATACATGTAATGTCTGGAAATTTAAGAATTTAGTAGAAATAACTACTGAAAGTACCTACCTACAGGCGTTTTGGCTTAAATTTGGACCGGTAAGCGATAGTATTATAGCTGCTTTTTTTCAACTGTTTGCACGATTGACATTAGATTATTATTAAGAAAAAGATCGATTTGTGTTCTAAATCGTTTTCTTACGGCTCATTTTCAAGCAATGTCAAGACAAAAAGTGAATTTTTGCTTTAAAATTCCATCTTTTGTCGTGCCAAATGGTCTAATATTGTACTTTTTTCGAAAGAGAAATGATTTCTGAGTAGATTGCACTTTATTTGGTGAAAATTGGATGACAATTAAAAAGATCTGGGAGGTAAAATAAGGCCTGGGGGTAGTTCCGTGGCGAACCTTTCTACCTTTACTATATTTATAGTCCATGTATATATGGATTGAATTTTTAAAAACAATTTTTCTTTGTTGTTTTATTGAAAATAGGATGAAAATAAACATTTTGAGTGAAAAAAATATTCCATTTATAAAAATAGGTGGCCTTGGTCATGTTAACTATCCAACATGCACCGACTGCCTGAGGTCGTATAATTAAGTACAAGCAAGGTTTTACGCACGCGTTGAATGGCGGCAAAGGAATGGTCAGCTGTGCACTGCATACTTTAAGTATAAACAAAATATGCTACAAAGACGTATGTCTGTTTAGATCTGTGCAGTTGTTGGAATAAAAAAATAAGCATAACCACATGAAAATTTCATTACGACGTACTAGTAGTACTCGTTTTATACTGTGACATGACAGGTACCCTTCAGTCAATGTCGTACATTGTGCAAGCAATCCGACACCACGTATCTTATTGAACACACGTGTGGCATCGCCTTACTATATAAAAGGCAGCTATTAAACTTTTTGAAGCCGCACAGTACTATGCGAATCATCTAAAAATACTTTAAAATAAATACATTTAAATTTCCTCAAACAAACTTATTTCCTAGTTTGTAAAAGAAACAAAGAGATAGATTTAAAAATTCTGATGTTTTATTACAATCCAATGCAACACCAATGCGTTATGCTCCATGTAAAACAGTTCCCCTTTGTACGGTGTTCCGTTTGGACAGTCGTGACTTTTTATTTAGTCTGTACCCGAGATGCACGATAGTACGATGGTGACAACGCAATGTCACGATGGTAAGATGGTGAAAACACGATGGTGCGATGATGAAAACGCGATGGTGCGATGGTGAAATCGCAATGGCGCGATAGTACGATGGTGAAAACGAGATGTTATTTTCCCATCTACTTTTATTCCTATATTCATATGATCAAGCTTTCATTCAAGTTATTTATGTGAATGTTGAAGGCCGTCGTAGACAGACGACATTTCTGCTTTAGTTACCATTAGATTTGTGAGCAAACTCCTTTCTCGCTTGAATTGTCAAGGAGTTGTTTTGTAATTGTCGTTCTTAATATCTGGTGTTTTAACATATAAACTAAAATAAAAACAAGTTTTACATTTGACTAATTTTCTGTACTATTTGATTTTCCGTGAAATTTAACGTTAGTGTTACAAAACGGATTCGCTTTAAACATGCTTTTATTATAGCACAATATGCCAAAGAGTAAAATGTCAATGTTAACGTGAAATTAAAAGAAATTTGCATTTTATCATATTTATTTTCAACTTTATTAAAACTGTCACATGAGTAATCAGTAACCCTCGTGACCCACACAAACATCTAAAAATACCCTTGAGAAATTATCGGTTATGTTCATTTTATAAAAAGACATGGCAGTTGTTATATTTTATCATAAACATTTGAAATAATCAATCATTGTTCAATCGCCATTAAATTAGTCAATATTTTGACATGCAACTAATTATCTCATCTAGACAGTGAAACAATGAGTATAATGTCAACTTATTTGAGTCTGTAGTATTAGACATGAAAGGCAGTGATTGAACGAGTCCATTTAAAATGTTTAAAGTATATTTTAAATATAAAATGATCAACCACAATTTATATGGTTTACGGAGAAAAAGGCTGTTTACCGCTATCTATTGATATAAATCTTTTTACAGTACGTTTTTGTGTCGCCTTTTCGGAGTAGTGGCGACATATAGGGATCACGTCTCCGTCGTCCGTCTGTCCGTCCGTCTATCCGTCTGTCCGTCACAAAACTTGTCCGGACTACTCCTAATAAACTACTGGTGCAATTTCATCCAAACTTTACAGGAATGATCAGTACCAAGTCTAGTTGTGCATATTGTCAGCATTTTCCGGTTCAATGATTTTTGTCAGAGTTATGGCCCTTTAATAATTTTTATTTTTAAAGTTTGTTCGGACTACTTCTCTTATACCACTAATGCAATTTCAATTAAACTTTACAGGATTAATCTGTAGCTCAAGTCCTTGCGCATAATGCACGGGTTTTCCGTTTGACTGATTTTGGCCGAGTTATGGCCCTTTGATAAAAAGGTGTTTTTTTCTGTGTGTTGCCAGATACACAAAAGCTTGTCCGGACTACTCCTCAAAAACTACTGGTGCAATTTCATCCAAACTTTACAGGAATGATCAGTAACAAATCTAGTTGTGCACTGTCCGTCTGTCTGTCCGTCTGTCACAAAACTTGTCCCAACATAAAATTTGCCATCATGAGGCGACACATGTGATTACTGATCGCTCTTGTTTCCATAGCAACGGTATTGCATTTCGTGCATGTGCATTCTGCGTAGGGCAAAAGGAATGAATTAAAGCGGTTAATACTTAAAACGTGAATTGATGTTTATAACATATATACAAAATTAGCGGGACTAATAATTTAACGACCAAAAGTTCTCTATTCAAGGTATCATTAGATGACTTTTTCATCAGTTATTTAAATTGAAACAGCAGGGTGTTACAGATAAACTTTTATTACCCATGTATTACATAATATTACACAATTGGTATTCCTTTGAAAGTGGACTGGCAAGGCAGTAAGTTTCAAACAGATTGACATGTGACCGGTTGTTATTTGCCAGCTAGTTTACAATATCATTCAACCTGGACGTTTTAGTACCATGACATAGTTAATCACTTAAAATTATGAACATCTGGAAACAAAGTGATCCATCGGAAGCATTAATCACAACAGAATAACATAAGAATTGCAGACTCGGGGGATACTGAACAAGCGCAACATCCCTCACGCCCCCTAGCACCAGTTTGAGCGGAACTCAATTCTCAACACTTAATAGTACTGGCATCAATGATCCCGAAGGATCAGAAAAATATAACAACACTGAAATAATGAAGGGGCAACTTTTTACAGCTGCCACACAGCACTTGCTGTTGTGAAGTATGAAAATCTGGAAACAAAGTAATCCCTCGGATCATTAATCACAACATAATTACATAAGAATTGCAGACTTGGTTTGATTGAGTCTGTACATGAGAGATACTGAACAAGTGCAACATCCCTCACGTTTCCTAAAACCGGCCTGAGCGGAAACTCAATTCTCAACAGTTAAAAGTGCTGGCATCAATGATCTCGAAGGACCAGAAAAATATAACAACACTGAAGTGAAGTACGGAGCAACTTTTTACAGCTGCCACACAGCACTTCAAACCTGCTATTGTGAAGTATAAAAATCTGGAAACAAATTAATCCCTCGGAAGCATTAATCACAACAGAATTACAGAATTACGTAAGAATTGCAGACTCGGTGTAATTGAGTCTGTACATGAGGGATACTGAACAAGTGCAACATACATCACGCCCCCTAGCACCGGCTTGAGCGGTACTCAATTCTCAACACTTAATAGTGCTGACATCAATATTCCCGAAAGACCAGAAAAATATAATAACACTGAAGTGAAGTACGGGACAACTTTTTACAGCTGCCACATAGCACTTCACACCAGCACGTAAATCTTAACTTGAATTTAAACCAATCTTATCGTAGTTTATTGATTTTGTGTAGTGACAAATAGTGTACGTGACGTGCATTTTCATGTGTTACCAGGTGCCGGATAAAATGTGTGTTATTTCACCAGCTATCCTAACTTCTCAAGAGTTTGAAAAATTATCTAAATAGATATGTGACTTAAAAAATTTTTTTTGGCATCACAGTCAAGTCAGATTATTGATAAAATAAGGTAAACTAGAAACTTAATTTTAAATGCATTATCACGTGCTCTGACTTTTTTTCAGAATGATAATTAGCCTCGAATATATAAATTATAAAATTTATTTAGTTTTTATATGGTCAATTTCAACAACAATTAAATTGACTGATTTATTTGCCAATATAAATATTTCCACATTTTTTCGAACAATTATCTCTATATAAGGGTCGTGTTCGTAAGGTGGAATTCTTAAACAATGCCTTTTTATGGCAATTTTGGCCACTAAACTATAAAATCAGCTTTTGTGTTTATTTGATATGATTTTCTAATTTTTACCTTCAACTAACTTGGAACTGCCAAGAACTTCTACAACAATTTTATTTAGGGCGATGCTTTTTTTGGACTACGCAAATTGTGCATGCGCGAGAAAATACTACATCCGGTCAATTTTTCATAGCAACGGACCGCGTCGTAGAAAGGTCTATAAATGAAAACATACGATATTATATATATAATCCTTCAAAAAAATAAGTGAAAATAATATGACAAAAACTCCTTAGGTTGCAAACCTTTACACAATTTTCTTTTATAAAATGAGGTTTATTTGATATATGGAATGCACAAAATTTTGAAAACGAGAAGTGGTTTAAACTCACAATAGAAACCAAAAATTGGGCCCAAACCAAATCAATTAAAGGTCCTGTATGTTTTGTGATTGATATTGTTACTGTGTGTATACCACACTTGCAAAAAAATTATATATGTATATATTTTTCAAATAAAACAATTTTAAAACATCGAAGAATATGTAAAATGTGTACTGCAAATATTTGTGCACATTATATTTAATCAATAAATTACATGCATTCATTTTTTATTGGATAATTTGACTTCGAATTTATAGAAAATAATTTTCTAATTACCCCCCTTTATTTACATGAAATGTTAAATTGGGTAATATCTTTATAAATAATGCTTCTTAGAACTTACAATATTGACAAATCTTAATTTGAGCATCATGTTAATGTACTAAAACCATAAAAAAATGTGTTACAGGATCTTTAAGAATTATTATTCGAGTATGGTTTTGGGTTTGCCTTGATTTAGCAAGAAATAGGTAATCCTGACCTGTTTATAGATTTGTTTAAACAGAGACTGGTTAATTGCTACACTCGAAATTGGCAAATTCAGTCGATGCTTTCATTACAGAAATTTGAAATCACTATTAAATGTAGAAAAATACTTTATATTGGATTTACCATTCGTTTATAAAAAATCTTTTTCTAAGTTTAGAAATGTTCTAACCACAAACTTAAACATTTAAATATATATATAAATAAATAGAAATATCTCATTTAATGATTGTCAGTTTCATGCTTTTTTTCATTGCTATAAATATAATGAAGTACGCTAACTATACTTATCGAAGAACAAATTTAAATGATTTTTTACTCATTAATGAACTCAAGTTGTGATACAGCAATATGTAATGTCTTCATTTATATACACCATATTCTTTGTATATCAGTTGATATTAATCGGGGGACGTAAAATGATTGTCCATGTTGTATTGTATATTATGAGCCGGTGGTCTTATTATCAAATAAACATGTTGTTGTTGTTACTGTTATTCAAGCTTAAACATCTCATTAATAAGAAAACATGAGCGAATATTTGAAATTATGAAAAGCGGTTAAAAATAATTTTAAGATAACTAAAACTTTTGATCATGTACATTCCGAGACTGTTATACAAATATTTCATTGATTTATACTTTGATTTATAATAATTACTCACATAACATTGTTTTGTTTGTAATATAGTTTTGTCTTAAACTAAAACACCTTTTCTATTAGCTTAAAACTATTGGATTAGACATGTCATTGTAAATGATTAGAATATTAGAACGTATATGAATGTACATAACTTGTCAGTTGTTTATATTATTACTTAATTCTTCTTTTTATTGAGATAATTATCAACGTAATTTTACCTATATTTGTAAAAAATGGTATTATGGAACAAAATTATCCCCTAAGAGTTTCAACTCTTTCTATTTATGTCATTATACTGTTTATAGATCAACGACTATTTAATATATGCTTATATATGCCTAATATATGTTTGCTTTTTTTCTTTTGCTGTATTTAAAATACCAACTTGAACTTCATATGTACAGTGCACAATGATGACAACTTAAAGTTTCTAAATTTTTTGTAATTTTGCATGTTTTAAATACAAAGATCTCAAAGTTACGCAAATAGAAAGGGTGCGGGGTTAAATATTGAGAAGGCATATATGTTGATAACATTGTACCATTGCGCATGATCAACGGAAGACGATGACACGATGATGAAATCGCGATAGTACGATGGTGAAAACGCGATGGCACGATGGTGAAAACGCGATGGTACGAAAGTGAACATGCGATGGTGCGATGGTGAAAACGCGATGGCACGATAGTTCTACCGCGATGGTACAATCATGGTGAAAACGCGATGACAAGATGATGAAAGCGCGATAGCACGATGATAATAACGCGATGGTACGATGATGTAAACACGATGAAACGATAATGAAACGAGATGGTACAATGGTGAAAGCGCGATGGTACGATGGTGAAAACACGATGGTACGATAGTAAAAACCGATGACTCAATGGTGAAAACGCAATGGTACAATGGTGAAAACGCGATATAACATCGCGTTTTCACCATCGTGCTATTGTGTTTTCACCATCGCACCATCGTGTTTTCATCATCGTGTCATCTTACCATCGTGTTTTTACCATCGTGCATCGCGGGTAAGAACGAAATAAAAAAATCACGATTGTCCAAACGGAACACTGTAGGTAATGCATAAGGTGGTCGTCCAGTAAAATGAAATATTGGTGTATTTGTCTTGCAATTTCCATACAGAACTTTAGACTTTAGGAGTTCCTAATGTAATGATAAGGTTTTTAGTTGCATTTCTGTTACTTATACTGATATTTGGTATTTTGATTTAAAAAACAACAACAAAAAATAATGAAACAGGCATTAACTAAGAGTGAATTGGTATATAATAGAAGGTCTTTATTACAATATATATTAACTTTGTAAGTGTTTAATATCTCACATGACAACAAACAACGAATTAAATATACATGGATATTGTTGCTAAATATAAGCTACAGGATCCGATATTACATATATATTTATATAACAGACAATAAATTGTTCTAAAAAAATTTTATTCATCATACAAATTTTCATACTTAATCACTTAGAACAATATCAACATTTTTTCCTTTCAGCAATATTTTATAAGAATACCCAAATGATATATTGTGTAGTTTTATCAATATTTGAAATACTTATATATAGTGTAATTATTGCAATGATCAAATTTTATGTATATTTATTGACCATTAAGTTTTCTGTTTGGGACACTTACGTATACGTAATTTATACATAATACATCATTGTATCAAAGTCATATCAACAAAATTATTTGAGTAAAGTTTATTTGTCTAAAGTGAAAAGAAAAATCAATTTCTTTTCATTCTTGTACATATTTCTTCAAAGTAAAGAAAAAGACCTGAAAGATTTAAACATACTTACAGGGTAAAAAAAATAATACAATAATACTTAAGGTGAAAAACTTTTTATCGACTGTTATTTTAAGATTACTCAAGGGGTTTTTAGCACACTAAAGTTATATTTATGAAAAAAAATGTATAAAACATAAAAAATTGTCAACATAACTACGATGCGAAACGCAATGAGATGCAATGACAAATAAATATAAGGCTATTTGCAAACTTGAGTTTTGTTGTTGTTCCTGTTGTATAGTTTGAAATACATAAAGTCAACGTTTACTTTAGATGTTATATTTTCTTTCAAACTTTGTACTATTGTATACTTTTAGCCGTTTTGTTTGACATTTGTTTCTGTCTGTATCTGTTTTTATCAAGATCATCCAATTGTTTGCTGATAAGATGAGAGATATGCCTATTTTCATTTTGTTTAGTTTTTCGCACTATCAATGACTTCATTCATTTGATCTCCTTATATATTCAGATTCTCCTTTGTTTATAAATTGAAGAGGAGGTATTTATACCATGTTCGAGTTTTTCATTCGCATTTTGCAATTACAAGTCGTTCGCCGCAGATTGTTAATAAGGTTAACATCGATTTACAGTTTGAGATTATAACAAATCCATAAACAATCAACATTTGTTTGAAGGAAAATCTACAAAAATGTGCAAGCTACTTGTCATTACTGTTATTTTGGGATATGTTGCTGCCAAACATGAAAGCAGCATATATATTCCGCTGGTAAAGATGCATAGTGATGAAAGTAGCGAGTCAGATTTTGATAAATCCTCTGACACAGACAAATACATAAAGAAAATATTTACTGACATTTCAAACCGTCTAAAGTGTACGTGCGATTCAAACAGGACAGACCTTGCCACAAAAGCAGATCTGGCGAAGTTGAAGAAAGAAATGATTGAAGATATATCTCCTCTTATGTTAGTTGAACCTAAACCGAAACCCATTGACTGCGGAGATATTTACAATGAAGGTCACAATAAAACTGGCATTTACACTATTTACCCTACTTGCAATAAGATAGGCATCTCAGTACTTTGCGATATGGACACATCAGGTGGTGGATAGACTGTTATACAAAGGAGGGTTTCTGAAAGCGACTTTTATAAGACATGGGACGAATACGAGACTGGTTTTGGTAACCTCAGAGATAACTTCTATCTTGGGAACCGCTTCATACATGAGATCACCAGCCAAGACAAATATCAGCTTCGAGTTGACCTAACCAGTTTTCAAGGAGAATCGGCATATGCAGAGTACAGCCAGTTTTCTATTGGTGATTCTGAATCCAGTTACAAGCTTCATGTTGGTGGATATTCTGGTACTGCAGGTGACGCTCTTGAGTATCATAATGGAATGAAATTTTCTACAAAAGACAGAGACAACGACCCCGAGAGTTCTCATCATTGTGCAGATAAATATCACGGTGCATGGTGGTACAAGAGTTGTCATTTTTCAAACCTAAACGGACAGTATGGTTCTAAAGAATTCGGAAAGGGTACAAACTGGAAACAGTGGAAAGGACATCACACTTCGATGGAAACCATAGAAATGAAAATTCGTAAAAATTTGTAAAGTATAATAAGTACATGAGTGCAGTGTTCATAATACATCAAATAAAATAATAAAATTTCGTTCGGAGTACTAAAAGATTGTGTTTGCGTATTATATGATTAGAATCTACGTTTTATATAGCATTCCAATTCCATTTCTTTAAATTTAATACTTTTTCTACTTGTTTTCAAACCCTGTGAAAAAAATTGTGTTATTATTATATTATTTGTTTATTTCACGCATTAAACAGACTATGATATATATCATGATTATGAAAGGAATGTAGAATTTTGACACTGTTAACAGTAACCAAATTATCTTAATGTATTTATTTCTTTTTTAATATTGTACAGAAATGTGTATTTGATGTCTTTAATACACTTTAATAACATTGAATTCATGGGTTAGCGTCTATTGTTTAACGTTAAAGTACCGTTACTTCTTAAGTTTAATCATTGGTCACCGAGTTAAATTAAATGTTGATAATATTATTTTGTAAATATAGTGGCACGTTTCATATTAATTAAAGGCACATCAATCATAGAAACTATTAACACTTGTCTAAAGATGCTTCAAAATTTAGTACTACTTGTCATTTATAGAAATGCATATTATACTATTAAGCTATTTGAAAACTTTTCATAATATTATTACTCATCACGAAATGAAATTATGTCTTAGTTCTTGCTAACAGATGAAATAAGTATTGAAATATTAATATTTTTTCAACTATTGCTCATAAAATCACAAACGTCAACATTCTATTTTTTAAAGAGTCACACCTTTCTAGATTTTTTCTTTTGCAATTTGTGATAACAATGTAATTCACAATGTTGAACAAACTATTAAATGTCATATTCACCAATCGAGTACTGAGAACGATGTAACAATATCAATGGCGTTGTTTCAATATTTTGGTACTTTAACAATAAACGAAACTCTAGCATTAAAAAGTTTTAATATGTATGCCAAGAACACATGTATCTCTATTTGTTTAATAAATATGGATTCTCCATGATATTCCAAATTTTTAATAGATATTTATATACTTATGTAACTGATAGAAATTAATTTGCTATATGCAGGTATAGACAATTAAGTGTTTAATAATCTTTAATCTTGTCTACTTGGAAGAAAACTGTTTACTTTATATATGTACATTTATTAAAAGCAATAACAATATGTTTGTAAAATTTTGTATATTGTCTTCAATAATTCATTACAGCTGTGTAAAAATCAACACATACTTGATATATATCCTAACTCATTAACTCCTAACATTATTCATCAACATATCATTACAGCTTCATAACTAGACTTGACAGTGTATTGGGTACTCATTTTAGTATTTTAAATCGATCGATGAAGCTCACAGAAAGTAGAAGGTTCTAGTCAGGGGCCCGCTTGTATCTGAAATCAGGTCTCCTGGCGATTAGAATTTTCAAAGATTACCTTCGCTTAAACCAAGAAAATCAATTAATGGTATTTTTTTACTACGTGTATTATAGTTTCTTTCGGAGTCGTACATATTATGTCTTTAGAATAAAAAGATGAGCATAATACTGACGAAACCTGAATGTCTAACATACCAAGCCATACAAAATCATTTAAAAAAAACTTGCAGCAGTAGAATATCAAACAAGACTGGACATGAGACCGGAAGATGTGGGCAGCCTTTAAGACGCCATTCTTTTTTATTGCTACAATAATTGACACGAATACAGTTACAAAACATGTAAACCTATTACAAAGCTTATCCGGGTAAAATTTGAAATTATTCAGTTAGATTAGACCCCCACCCTCTATAAAATGGAAATAGTGCATGCAAACAGTTGAAACAGAAAAGGCAGCTAAAATTCTATCGCTTACCGGTCCAAATTTAATCCAAAACGTATGTAGGTAGGCACTTTCAGTAGTTATTTCCACTAACTTCTTAAATTTCTCGACATTGTACATGCATGCAATCCTGACCCGGAAATACCTAATGCGTACCCCGTTTCGCATGGTACAGATTGAGCGAAACTGGCATGCTTTATTTGAATATCCGGATAAGGATTTGTATACATGTATCGTCGGGAAATTTAAGAAGTTAGATCAAATAACTACTGGAAGTGCCTACCTGCAGGCGTTTTGGCTTAAATTTGGACCGGTAAGCGATAGTATTATAGCTGCTTTTTCTGTTTCAACTGTTTGCACGATTGACATTTGTTTATTATTAAGAAAAAGATCGATTTATGTTCAAAATCGTCTTCTTTCGGCTTTGTCAAGCGGTGTCCGATCAATACAAAAAGTGCATTTTTGCTTTAAAATTCCATCTTTTGTCGTACCAACTGGTTTAATATTGTACTTTTGTCGAAAGAGAAATGATTTCTGAGTAGATTGCACTTTATTTGGTGAAATTGGTTGACAATTAAAAAGATCTGGGAGGTAAAATAAGGCCTGGTGGTAGTTCGGTGGCGAACCTTTCTACCTTTACTATATTTGTAGTATATATGGATTGAATTTTTAAATACAATTTTTCTTTGTTGTTTTATTGAAAACAGGATGAAAATAAACATTTTAAGTGAAAAAAATATTTCATTATAAAAATAGGAGAGAATGGTTATGTTAACTATCCAACATGCACCGACTGCGTGTGGTCGTATAATTTAGTACAAGCGAGGTTTTACGCACGCGTTGAATGGCAGCAAAGGAATGGTCAGCTGTGCACTGCATACTTTTAGTATAACAAAAAATGCTACGAAGACGAATGTCTGTTTAGATCTGCGCAGTTGTTGAAATAAAAAAATAAGCATAACCACACGAAAGTTTCATTACGACGTACTAGTAGTACTCGTTTTATACTGACATGACAGGTAACCTTCAGTCAATGTCGTACATTGTGCCAGCAATCCGACACCAGGTATGTTATTGAACACACGTGTGACATCGCCTTACTATATAAAAGGCGGCTATTAAAGTTTTTGAAGCCGCACAGCACTATCCAAATCATCTAAAAAATACTTTAAAATAAATACATTTAAATTTCTTCAAACAAATTTATTTCCTAGTTTGTAAAATAAACAAAGAGATAGATTAAAAATTAAGATGTTTTATTACAATCCAATGACAGTTCCCCTTTGTACGGTGTTCCGTTTGGACAGTCGTGACTTTTTATTTAGTCTGTACCCGAGATGCACGAATAGTACGATGGTGACAACGCAATGGCACGATGGTACGATGGTGAAAACACGATGGTGCGATGATGAAAACGCGATGGTACGATGGTGAAATCGCTATTGTATGATGGTGAAAACGCGATGTTATTTTCCCCATCTACTTTTATTCCTATATTCATATGATCAAGCTTTCACTCAAGTTATTTATGTGAATGTTGAAGGCCGTCGTAGACAGAAGACATTTCTGCTTTAAACCATTATCAACGTTAACAATAGATTTGTGAGCAAACTTCTTTCTCGCTTGAATTGTCAAGAAGTTGTTTTGTAATTGTCGTTCTTTATATCTGGTGCTTTTACATATAATCTAAAATAAAAACAAGTTTTACATTTGACTAGTTTACTGTACTATTTGATTTCCCGTTAGTGTTACAAAACGGATTCGCTTTAAACGTGTTTTTATTATTACATCACATTATGCCAAAATGTAAATGGTGAATGTTTAGGTTTAATTAAAAGAACTTTGTATTTGTCATATTTGTTTTCAACTTTATTAAAAACGTCACCTGAGTAATCAGTAACCCTCATGACCCACACAAACATCTAAAGATATCCTTGATAAATTATCGGTAATGTTCAATTTATAACAAGACATGGGCAGTTGTTATATTTTATCATAAACATTTGTAATAATCAATCATTGTTCAATCGCCATTAAATAAGTCAACCTTTTGGCATACAACTAATTTATCTCATATAGACAGTGAAACAATGAGCATAATGTCAACGTGTCTGCAGTATTAGACATGAAAGGAAGTGATTGAACGAGTTCATTTAAAATGTTTAAATTATATTTTAAATATGTAACGATCAACCACAATTTATATGGTGTACGGAGAAAAAGGCTGTTTACCGCTATCTATTGATATAGATCTTTTAACAGCACGTTTTTCCATATGAACGGTATTGCATTTCGTGCATGCGCATTATGCGTAGGGCAAAAGCGCAATAACGGTAAACTACAATCTAGCATACTTAAAGGCTTTAAAAGATGTGATATCAAGTTATGTTATCCAGAAAAAAAGAAATTTTGGAATGAATTAAAGCGGTAAATACTTAAAACGTGAATTGATGTTTATAACATATATACAAAATTAGCGAGACTAATAATTCAACGACCAAAAGTCCTCTGTTCAATGTATCATAAGATGACGTTTTCATCAGAAATTTAGATTTAAACAGCAGGGTGTTAAAGATAAACATTTATTACCCATGTATTACATAATATTACATAATTGGTATTTCTTTGAAAGTGGACTGGCAAGGCGGTAAGTTTCAAACAGATTGACTCGTGACCGGTTGTTATTTGCCAGCTAGTTTACAATATCATTCAACCGGGACTTTTTGGTACCATGACATAGTTAATCATTTCAATTAGGAAAATCGTAATTTAAGTAACTTTTATTTATACCAATCTCATCAATGATTATTGAGTTTGTGAAGTGACAAATAGTGCACGTGACGTGCATTTTCATGTGTTACCAGGGTAAAAACCCTCAATTAAGACCACCATCTGGACTGGACAAAAGTGGTCTTAATTGGCGGGTGGTCTTAATTGTGAATATTCTTATCATTTCTTATACACTTTATGACCATGGTCTTTTCAAGTTTTGTGTGATTAAACAAAATATATCTTAACATGCAAATACAATATAAAAGTATGTTCTAATGTTACATCTGATGGGAAAAAACATATTTCTGAAGAAATTCAATATCAAATTCTATTTGGTCTGATTTCAATATTAATTATTTTATGATATTATAATTCAGCCATCAAATAAAAATTAATTCTTCGCAAAACCAATATGCTTAAGGCAACATTAAATCATTCTAAAATCTACTTTCTCATCTTGTTTCATACAATATCCCAAAACTATAAGGTGTTTTTGACACCTTGTGAAATCAAGTGTCATGCCTGAGAGCATCCAAGCAGACAATAACAACATAACAACAAATTTAAGATCTAGCTATGTGTTGACTTTAAATCAGTTTTTTTTATAGAAGATTTTATTAAGGCACAAACATAATGTCTATTTCCATAAACAATAATGGCGTGTATACATACATATAAACATATTAACAAATCCATAAAACATCTAAATACGAGAAAAGTAATATTACATATATAATATCACAGTCATAAAATAAATATTAAGACTATGATAATTTATGTTTGAAATTAGTTGGAATTAGCTAC